CCAGTTACCATATCTTGAGTAATCAGTTGATTGAGTGACCTAAAACTCAGATGGTCAAATCTTGAATGCCACAAGCAAGTGTTCTTATGGTCGACAACTCTTTTTAGGCATTGTACGTCAGTCAAATTGATCATGGTCTTAAATGTCCTATTCTTCGACAAAAGATATTTTAAAACCAAATTAATCTATGTGGTGAATAATTCAAAGGCTCCATCTTTTATAACCACTGAGAAAAAATTTCGACCAGTTGTCCAACACTTAGCAAATTTCACTTCATTCCAGGTATATAGAGTACATCTTTGATCATATCTTTTGCTCCATTTCTCCTTTAAATAACTATGATGTCAGTATCTTCTACTTGCAACGAGCTATTATCAGCAAGTTTGACCTTACTCTTTTTCGACTCGTCTAAATCTTCTAACCACCCTTTTCGACCAGTCATGTGATTCGAAAGGCTTGCGTCGAGAAACCAGATCTTGGTGTTGGCATGCTCATCTGCAACAACAGCCATATCCAGATCTTGGTGTCAGGGCTTACTAAGAATAATCTTCCTTTTTCCCCTAGTACAAGCCTCCATCAGCAAGCAGGTATTAATGAGGCATTTTAAGCACTTTCCGTTGGCTTCCTCCTGAGTAATACTGCCCCCGAGATAGCCCAAGTCTTTGATAAAACTCGCCAGCCGCTTCTTATGATACAAATTTTCTTGAGAAAGGTATTCCTCTTTGTATACATATATCTCATTTACCATTAGAAAATGACCCTCAGACTAGTACTTGGGGAACAACTCAATACATTTACCCCTTGCTCAATTTCCAACAGTGTAAATCGTTGCCTGAGCATCTAGGTAGAGAGCAGTTACAAGAAAGAACCGATCTTCAAAATGTTGCAAGTTCTTAGAAAAACAACTCTTGATATTCAACGCTAGAGAAACTAAACCTCTACCCCTCATGTTGGTCACAAGGCCACGGTGAACTTTGAAAATATGAAAGAAAAGGGTCAAAGAAGGCTTCCCTTTTAACTATTCACACCAATACTGGAAAACTTTCACATATGCTAACTCAACGAATGGATTTGCGAGAGACACTACCAGATGCCTATGAAATTCCATCTCAAAGTCATTGAAAGGCAATTGAAGGCCCAAGGTTGATAAGAGACATTCATAACACGGAATGACACAATCGCCATATTCGCTGCAGATTCCATCATTTTCACTAGGGGTAAAGACACCCAAATTTAAAGATGGATCCACATCATGAAAGGATCCATCAATATTTCCCTTTCTGGAAAAGACAAAAACAGTTGAATAATAAGCAGAGTTCACCCACACAGATCGAGCATTCTTTTGTGAGTTTTGACTCATGATGTATTATTTCTTCCAGACACAAGAAAGAAAAATATCAAAGGAAATAAGATAACAATGAACTGGGAAAGATAACTCAAAAAAATACGAAGTTGACTCTTCAAAAATCATAGGCTAGTATGCAAAGAAGATAAACTCCATTAAGCGCTTCAAATCATTCACACGCAACACAAGTGTTCTAATTCCCAAGGGACATAATGAGGATACCTCCGAAAAGATATTTGAAGTATGGGGCATTAAAGGTGCGAACCCCCAAGAAACTGAAACGCTCACTTTTGCTCCTCCAAGATAAATGAGAGAGTGGTCGGCAGTTGAGGCTAATACGACAAACCCTTCCTACACAGAAAAAAGGGCTTGTGGAAACTATTCTTGGCCGACTATGTTAATCCCCAACCGACCACTCTAAAGAGGTTAAAATCATTCCAGAACCTTCTTAGCACATGAGAACTGCCCTGTAAATGAGTACAGAGGATCTAAACTCCAGATACATCCAACGACTATTTGTAATTCATGTCTAATAAATAACATGTTGTTATTTCCTTTCTAATATATATATATATATATATATATATATATATATATATATATATATATATATATATATATATATATATATATATATATATATATATATATATATATATTCAATTTACATTTTACGTATCGAGTTTCAAATTCAATTTCAATTCACACTTCTCTCTAACATACTGAATTGAGTGTTGGAGTGCTAACCTTGCAGGTCATCCCCCTCTTCATTAAAAATTAGAAGTTTCAATCCACCGTTATCACCAATCCTTACTCCATTTATGGTTTCAATATGAAACACTTTTATTTCCAGGATCAATTATGGTTTAACCTTTCAACTCTTAAATGATGATACTCAACATGAAAATTTCTCAAGCCTAAAGATAAAAGATTCAAGGCTCTTGTATAATTTTAAGTTCAAAGATAACGATGTCAAGACTTGAAACTTCAAAGTTGTGAAAGATAGAAAGTATGAAAGGTAGCTTGGTTGTGTCCGTCTGAGTGACTAGTGTCTTGTAAATATACAAGAGTATTTCTTGAATAAATAAGTTTTCCATAAAAAGTCATTGTTTGGTCGCAAGATAAACCAATAAAAACTCTTGTTTGTATTAGGGGATTGTCTTAGGAAGTCTCTGTTTGATTTGTGAGTTTCTCCTTGAAGAAAAATATCTCTTTTGGTTCGTGAAGATCAGTCAGTAAAATCTCCACAACAGTTTTTGAGTTCAGTCTGGTTAAAAGTGCTATTGTTTCGAGATCAACCAGGTTAAAGTTCCTCTAAATTTATGAGTTTAAACTGGTATAAAAGTTCAATAGGTTCAAGATCAGTCCGGTGAAAATCTCGTCTTGGTTCGTGGTCATCGTATATAAAACTACAGTTTAGTTCCGAGGATAACCAACTTAAAACTTTGTCTTAGTTCGAGATCAACACGTGAAAAATATCTTTTGATTTGAAGACTAAGCGTTCTAAGTCATTGTTCGTTGTTGGGTTAGAAGTTAGCCCAAAAAACTTCATTTTCTTATATAAAGAAGTTTGTGAGCAAATCTTTCTAAAAGCTTTCAAGTTTAGTGGACACTCTCTAGAATAATTCTTAAGTACAGTAGTATGTCATCTTGATCGAACCTGTATAATTCTCTGGTGTTCTTCTCATTCCTTATCTCTTTTAATTTCAAATAATTTTTTTTACTCTAGTTTTTTGTTGCCTAGTTACTCATTTGTTTTACAAAATGTTTCAATCTCTTATTTTATTGATTATTTTATTTTAAACCAAAGTTTTTCAAACATCCATAACTCATCTCTTACTCTTATGTATAAAGTCACATGTTCAACAAACACAAAAATGCAAATCAAAACGACCAAGCACGATACACGCGAACTTATTAAACTGGACCCAATGCCCAAAATACCCTAATTACCCGCTGAAGCATATGGCTGGGACCTTTGTCTGACCGCTGCTTCCAACCATCGTTCGTTCAACCGCACCCACAGCTCCGGCATATTCCATAATGAATGTCATTTTTAATCTTTAACCACCTCTTTTGCCCTATGTGGGACACTTGTGAAATAAACTCTCCACTTGTTTGCTTAGTGATTTTGACACTTGTGAAATCAACTCTCCACTTGTTTGCTCAGTGATTTCATCTCACTATCTGGTATACAGTTTGTGAATGGTTAGGGAATGTATGCATTATGTTGAAGAACCTGTCCTTTATTTTCTCCATCCTTAGAGCATCTTTAGTGGGAGTAAACTAAATGGGTAAACTAAGATACTTTTTGTGGGCCCAAAGTGATTTGTAGGATTTAAAAAATTTATAGTTGATTTGAGTAGTTTTTACTTTAATGGTGGTTGTCTATAAGAAACCAAAACTTGACCCCACATTTTATATTTTTTATTCAAGTTACCATTAATTTAATTATTTTAATTAAAATACATATAATTTTTTAAATAAAATTTACCTTAAAAACTTAAAAATAATATTAAATATATTTTATTATAAAATTAAAAATGATACAAAATTCACAACAATAATACATAAAAAAAATTACATTTTCATAGGAATATAATTATAATAAGGATTCGATTGGTTGGGATCCATTTGATAAATAAATAAGATTGAAAATTGAAAGAAAAAAATTTAAAAGTAAAATTGTGTGTAAAAAAAATTAAAATTTCTATAGAATTTATAGAAGGTAAAAAATGATAATATGACCGTTACTATTTTCAAATATCATACCCTTACTTTAAAATTGTTGGAATATTTGGAATATTTTATTAATATTAAATAATATTATAATAGGTTTCACATAGTTAACGTTAACTATATAGATGATGGGAACTAAATTTTAGTTCACTTGGATGCCATGTCAGCTCTGTTATAATGCAAATTCCTTATTACTAGCGTAAGCTATAAAGAATTTTAGTTTAACAACCCTGCGTTAAAGTTGCTCTTAGTGGAGCTGTTGCATGTGATAGAATTAAGGATCTCCCTCATTAGACATCTGGGGGAGTCGTGGGCAGTTCAAGAACCCTGACTTGTGGGTTTTCTTCAACTAATCCCACCGCCTCCCAACTACCTCCTTACAAGTCTTCTTTTCCAATTAACAATTAACAATATGTTCATCGTAACTTTATCAAATCATTCATGAAATGAGAAATAGCAAAGTAGAGAAAAAACAATGCAAATGAAACTCAGTAACCATGGAGCCAATGTGCTTCATGCCAAATAGACCAAGTGCTTTTGACATTAAACAACAGAAACATTGACTGGACCCAAGTACAAATTTCCACATAAATCATCAGCTATGATTACACGACCAAGAATCTAAGTTCTCAGTTACATTCATCATCAGGGTCTTTGGCCATATCCTCAACTTTAATATAAAAGAAAAAGAAGCTAGTATAATTCATCAATTCAAAACTGTAACCAGACAAAAGTAGCTGGTAGTAACTCATCTAGGCCATTGCTTTACTAATAATAAATTTAATGGTTAACAACTTAATTTGCTTACTACCATCGAATGCTGCAAAATTCATTGTTCATTGAACTTCTCTAATGCGATCAAAATTTCCTCCATTTTTCATATTTTTGCTGTGAATAATTGTCATATGCCTGAATCCTACGCTTGCATGGACTGCAACAACTTCAAAGCCAATGCTTCTTGCTCCTGCAAAGTAATACCTTGATTACCTGGGACTTCTTTTCTTTCACCCTCGTCACTGTCACTATCAAAGTATATTTTACTCTTTTTATGGTGTTTATTTACAGTTTCGTCTTCTGACCCAGAGATATTATCTCGGTTGTCCTCTTCGTCCATATTATCAGTCTTCCATTTCATTTTCTGCTTGGTTCTTTTTTCTCTAAGTCGCTGACGCTCTACAAGTTTGTCTTCCTTGTCTGCCTTCTTCAAATCCTCTCGCATCCTTTTATAGTATTCAGCTTTTTGTTCTGCATGAAGATGAGATCCGGAGATGTCAGAATAAATAATATATGGAAAAAAGGGTGATGCACTGACAGTGTAAATTTTTTTACACTGCCAACCAATGACGACCATGCATCCCGCCAAATCATACTGAAAATTTTAAACTAATTATATGACATAGCAGTATGATGTCGGATGACAGTGTAAAACATTTTTACACTGTCAGTATATAAAAATTAAACCCATAATATATTGCATGCTTTTGCAATGATCACATATAAACTAATACTAAGTCATACAATATTGTGAACAGATGAGGTCTAGCCCCGATTAGGTTGAACTCAAGAAAGATCACATACACAAATTGTATTATATCACAGAATCTATTGGGAATTAATGGCTGCCATATTCTTGTGCATTTAATTTGAAGTTTTAAAACATATTTATCATTTTAATAAAATTATAAAAATAACAAGCAATAAAGCATCGATGCGTGTTTAATGTTTACCATTACTGAAAAAGATAGAATGGGACAACCTACCCAATTGTCACACCATATTTCCTTTGTACAATTCGACTTCCAAAACAAAAGACCATAACATTGAAATTTTAGAGTAAAGTTTTAAATCAGTTTGAAAAACAAAAACAATAGGAAAGGGAGAAAATTTGGCATTCAGGTACATTGAGATAATAAATAGCTTTACACGTAAACAGACAAGGGTCTGATTTTATAAATTGTTATTTCTGTTAAAAATCTGGCTTCAATTGCACATACCTGGATCAATTAGCAATGAATCCTTGCCACTTTGTGTGCCAGCAATCCTGGCTAGTGGAGGAAGTGTGTTGCCTTCATCATCGAATACAACTCGACTACCCAGTGGCCTATGCAAATTAATCTTGAGCTTTTTTTTCTTTAATAAACGAGTTGCTGGTCTGCATACGAAAGATCTAAATCAGTAAAAGAAAAAGTAGAAGCTCAAGGCTCTCCACGCCAAATGATTCCCAACAAGAAACATCACAAATACTACTTAAAACAATTCAGATTTTGAACTTTTCACAAGCCATCATAAGCTTTAATTTGGAATGTCCATTGTCTAGGCAATGTGAAACCAGAAAACTTCTTTCCAAAAAAAAAAAAAAAACAGCCGACTTGTATACCCAAATTGAAACTATAAAAATACCAAAGCAACATTGTCAGAAAAGTTGTCTAAACTACTTTCACTATACTACTGAGCACATATATAAAGGGACATACATTAGTTCTCCAATATCAGCTGACTTTGTGTCGTCTTCTTTTGAGGTATCAGCTGCTTGAAGAAGATCATTTTCAATTTCTTCGTCTTTGAAAACAATTGTGTCTAGCTTTTCTCTAGAACCTTCTAAGACATTTTCCTGGTTTGGATCCACTAGTTCAGCTAAATCTGATTTTGTTGACACGGCTTTAGATTTAAGTTTCTGGTTTATAAAACGAATTTTGGGGGTCATCGGTAGACCTAATGATGCTGAATACTCGTCAATAGGAAGTTTCAAAATATCAAAGATCTCTTTATCCTTTTGGAGATGGATGGATCTCAAGTAGGTGACAAATGCCCTTTGGGCTCGCTGCTGAAGTTCTGGGTATTTGACTAGTAAAGATGCCAACAAGCTGGACACTGGTTGCAGTTTTTCTTTCTTTGGCTGAATAATCAGCAAATAAAGCATCGTAAGCAAATATGTTAGAGAAAACATGACACAGACACCAAGCCATATAAGAAAATGACATCCATAAATCTGACACATCGATGTTATATGTATTTCCAGAGCAAATGTACCTTGACTAAATGCACCGGAACCTTTGCTGCTTCTAACTTTTCAAGCATTTGAGTTTCTGAAGGCAATAGAAATAAAACTGACTTTCCATCAGATTTATAACGAGCAGTACGGCCAACTCTATGTATGTAAGATGCTACATTTTCAGGACAATCTACCTACATAAACATAAGAGAAAAGTTAGATTTCTAACCATAATAAGAAACTTTTACCTTCCAAACCCCACCTGAAATCCTTAAGACTCGCATTGAGACAAGAAGCAAGAAGCAAAACACTCACCTGAACAACCCAGTCAACTGCTTTATTAAAATCAAGACCTCTTGCAGCCACATCAGTTGAGAAGAGAACTGACCGATTCTCACAGAAATCGGAATATATTGCCATTCTTTTTTCCTGTTTCATCCTCCCATGGAGGCACTTCAACGGTATGCCAGGGTGAAGTTTTCTAAATGCCTCATACACATAATTTACCTATTAAGAAGGCAAGTGAATGTTAAATGCTTTGGAAGATATTTAAGCTCAGGAGTGGAAATTTGCAGCAAATTCACACATAAATATGATCAACACAAATCTTTGTAAATGGAAAAACCTCCTCCCTGTTTAAATGTAAGAATTGTCAACAGTTTGTCCTGCAAATCCTTTAAAAGCCTAACAATTACAATAAACACAACCGGCACAGCTGATAAACCAGAACAGAAGTTCCACAAATGCAGACCAAGGGCCAGATTGATTGTGTACTTGATTTGTCATTTTGAAAACTGTTTTGTAAAATTCTTTGAAGAACTATTTTTCAGGAAAATGTGATTCCAATCAAGTAGAAAAATCTCCTTGACAAAGGACAAAGAAGTGGAGTTACCTGTTTACAGCTTGATAGAAAGACAATTGTTTTGAACTGTAGATGAGTCTTTATAAAAGTCCACAGCATATCTAACTTTTGATCCAGAGGAACAATCATCACAATTTGCTTCAAGAGAGTAGGAGTGGCAGCCACAGACTCTTCGTGTACACTCAGATACTCTGGGTCCTTCAAACTTAGTCTTGCAAGATCTTGAACTGACTTTGTTTGAGTTGCTGAGAAAAGCATAGTTTGCCTACGTTTTGGTAACTGTGAGATGATTGCATTTAGTGCCTTCTTGAATCCACTGTCAAGAATACGATCAGCCTCATCTAGTACCAAAACCTATATCCAAGAAGTCCACTCAATCATCAGCTATTTTTACAAAAGATAAATATTTGTGATCAAGTTCATCGAGCACAAACAAAACACACAAAATTAGAGCTATTTTCAATAAACTTCCTAAGAAACACATTTTGAAAAGAAAGAAATTAAAAAAGATCCAGTAATATCTACAAGTATTTTTATGAAGAGACAAGAGTTTACTAAAGCAATGGTTTCTCGTATGAGCTCAAATTAACTCCAAACTCCCCTTTAATTACTCCATAAATCCCTATAGGTTAATAAGGACTTCCTTTATTAGGAGAAAACCATAAACTCATTTTAATTGGAAAACTCCTATAAGTTAAAAGCTAATCCAAACTCAGCCGTATTATGCTATGCTTAACAAGGACTCAACCATATAAAAATATAACCACAAAGATACTATGCTTCAAGGTTGTTAAAAATTGAAGGTCAACAAAGTATAGATAAGTGCATGAGGTTGTCAAAAAAATATTGAAGCAAAAATTGAGACAATAAAATGTTTGATTATAATTCTCATTTCAGAGTAAGATTGAGGTTAATCTATTCCAAGAAATAAGAAATAAAGATATTATATGGACCTGCATCTGTGAACAATCAAAATTAGGAGTTTCATCCATGTGTTGTAGAAGGCGACCAGGTGTGCAGATCAAAATGTTGAGCTCGTTGACACGTTCTTTCTCAGTGTCAACATCCTTACGACCACCAATGAGGAGACCAGCACTAAAACCATGGTACTTCCCGACAGAATTCAACACCTCGAATATCTGACCAGCTAATTCTCTTGTAGGTGATATTATTATGCTCCCAACCCCATCTTCAGGTCCCCATCTCTCTCTATACAATTTCTCCAACACCTACCATTCACAAAATAAATCCCCAAAAACAAAACAAATATTAACAAGCAAAAAACGAATCATCATTTTGGTCTCAAACTTGTAGGAGTTAACAATTTAATAAACCATTAATTTAGAGGAACATGTATCACTTTCTCTTTTATACAGTCCCTAAACCATATGAAAATAAAAAATAGTAGTACTTAACACTATATGAAATCCAAGGTTTTAAAAAACAGTCTGCGACAAAACAGTATCAGCATACCAATACCATTATTCACCGCTTTTATGTTGAAGAACAAATTGTGATTAATTCACACCGTGACGGCCGCAATCAGTGTGCAACACTTAGCACTAACCGAAATCGCAAAAGCCTTTACACGACCGTTATTTAAAACCTTGATGAAATCCATCAAACTAGTCCCTAAACTATATAAAATATGACTCTTTAATCCCTAATATCTCTTGCCAATATATAACAACGGGAACTAATTTTAACATTATTTCATATAGGGTTACACATAGTTTAAGAACTACATATTTTTATATACTTTAGGGACTAAGTAGGAGATAGTGTTACTTAGAGACTAATTGATGGTTTAGGCATTAATCTTTCTAACTTGCCTTGTGACAACCTAACCCCAAACACAACCCCGACACAACGACACCAATAATAATTTGAAAATAAAATAAAATTAAAGGCTTAAATAGTCCGTTGGTCCCTATAAGTTAGCGAATTTTTGAGTTTAGTCCTGTAACTTTTTATTTGTCTGAGTCCCCTATATCTCACTTTTTGCGTGCGGTTTAGTCCCTAAAGTCAAAATCCACCGGTTTCCTTCCTAAAGTCAAATATATTAAAAAGTGCATTTAAGCCTAAATTAAATATAGAGACTCAAACTAAAATTCACCGGTTTCCTTCCTAAAATCCACCGGTCTACAGATTTTGACTTTAGGGACTAAAACGCAAGTGAAATATAGAGACTTAGACTAAAAAAAAAATTTACAAAGTGCATTTAAGCCTAAATTAAATGTAATTACAAGAGTTGGTGCAGGTGTGTTAGACGGACCCAGACCCAGAGAGGTGTCAGGTGCTACATAGTTGACAACTAAAACCCTAAAATTGAACACTTTCATTCAATTAAAGTACTAAACTAGCAAAATACTGATTCACTAAAAAGAGCACAAACAATCAAGTATATACATTCTAAGTTTCACCATAATCATTTCAAGTTTCAAAAGCAAATAAAACATAACCCTAACCCTAACATAATCAATGAAACACTCACTGGGATAATGAAAGCAAGTGTTTTCCCGGAGCCAGTTTTCGCGGCACCGAGAACATCACGGCCACAGAGTGCATGAGGAAGAGAAGCTCTTTGAATATCAGTCATGGAAACGAACTTGGAGCTTCGCAATGCGTCTTTAGTTTTCTTCGACAGTGGCAACTGCTCAAACCGCACGACGCCGGCGTAGCGGGAGAACGTATTGTCGCCGAGGTGACCGACGGGGGAGTTTTTGGGGAGAGGTGGAAGAGACATTGGGTTGGAACCGGAATCTGGTTTCTGGAACTGAATCCATGAATTCAATTGCTTAATCTCATCTTCTTCTGAGAGGCGTTGTTGTTTGCGAAACTGCTTGGATTTAGGTCTTCTCATTGTTCCTCAATTTTCAAACTGAATTTGTCGAGAGAGAACGAGAGAGGCTTGAGGATGAACAGAGAAACGTCGTCGTTTAGGTTTCCTTTGCGGCAGAGTTGTGTAGCTGGGTTAGGGTGTTCGACAATTTAAAGTTGCAGTAAAATTCTGTGTACATAGAAACAATAAACCGGTTTAAATCAAAACTGGTTTTGAGCTGTTTCATAAAATAAACCGGTTTAAAATAAATTGGTATAAGAAAATCGGTTTAAATCACTAAATTATTTTATAATAAAATTAAATTAAATTATTACACTTTGAATCTTTAGTTTTTTAAAGGTTTCTTTTTGGTGAAAGATAGGAGAAGAACATCCTCTAACAATTAGATTAAAATTATTTAGGGAAGGTAACCCTATAAGAAAACTTACAATAAATTTAAAAATCTTACAATTTTTAGATATCTAAAAGTCGTGAATAAACAACTAAATCTAATGTTTGAGGACAATAAAAAAGGAATATGTCTTATCTTCATCCTAAATTTTAAAATAGTATATATTTTAGTCACATTACTTGTAAATCTAGTATTTAATTTTTTATAGGTAATATGTGAGTTAATCACTCACACTTGAGTTTGACAATCTCATTCACAAACGTGACTTCTCGTCTCTTATAACAGGACTCAGCTATAGTTATAGACTAAAATATTTTATTGAGACTAAAAGTGGGATGATCATGGTAATATAGCCTAAATTGAGTGCAATAATAGGCGGGCACTCGAAACAGTAATGTGAGCTCGTGTACTCCAAGTCGTAAGAATCGAAATCCATGATCTATCCATCACATGTGGCATGTGAGATGCCAAAGGAAAAGCAATCTAAAATATTAGTCAAAGGAAAAATTGTCCCTTTACGATTCAATGCCACCTTAGGAATTTGGTAAAACTAACATGGGCCACATATACATTCTCATCACAGACTGTTTTAATCGCCGTCCTCAAGATGGTACAAATGTGAGGTTTCACATCATTCGATAGTAGTTCTAACAATTTTTCCAAACCTTGTTATAAATTGTCTGACACTATTTGAAGGTTTAGGAAACATAAGAAAGAAGGGATTGAATTGCGTTTTAAATATGACAGATTTTCGGGACCCAAAGACAATAACAACAATAATAAAAATGACAAGGTATTTTTATTTTAGTTCACTGTTAACTAGGTTAGTCCAGTCCACTCGTTAGAGTGATTTTGCCAACAATACTTAATCTAATAATCAAATTGATTACAATCTCAAAGACTACCAGTCAATCACTTCTCAACAATTCTAACTAAACTTAGTCCCTTAAGGAATTACAACTCAAATACTACCCGTCAATGATTTCTCGAGGCTACAGACTAACACATAGTCCCTAAAGGAATTTAACAATTGTTAGATATAAGGTTTGTATTTTCAATATTGCTTATAAATAAGCAGATACACAAGATGGTAAAAAGACTTTAAACTTAAGAATATATGAAATAAAGTGCTAAGTGTTTTTTCTTTATTTACTATTTCTCGATATTGATTTTCTCTATTGATATTATTTAAGCATCCATATATATGTTTTGTTAATGAAGTTCGTCGTGTAGTTCATTGTTTCTCAACATTCTTTGTCCTATTCATATAGATGATGAATAATATTGTTGGATGATAGAATTGAAAACTTCTTCAATTCCACTGTTGTAATAGTGCTACGAGGTTGAGCCTAAAATCGTGGATAATGGAGAGAAAATCTTTCACAGTTGTTTGGTAGTAAAATCCTTAGAAGTATCATTGAATTTGTCCTTTTGATTTTGCCGCTCAAATTGTATTATCCTTTAAATATACATTCATTCATTTTCTCTAAATCATTAGCTTTATATATGAGATGTTTTGAAGCTTGATCAGAGTTTTAGAGCCTTGAAGATAGATTTCAAAGTCTAGTGAAAATGAGGCTTGAATTTATTATACTACATATGGGTTGTTTACTTCAAAAGCGTTGACTAAGATATCTAGAGGTTGACTTTAAGTTTAACACTTCATATTCTAACTTTGGTTCAGAATCTGATGGTGTCCAGAGTCCAGAGTTTATATATCCAGAGTCTAGAGTTAATTTATTCAGAGTCCAGAGTCCAGAGTCTCTCTATTCAAAGTCCAAAGTCTGATGAAGTTCAACTTTGTTCAATATCTAGCTTGTTTAGAGTCTGCTTTATCCAGCATCTGGCATGTTCAGGTTCTGGACATTCAACAAACTATTAAAGTACACAATTGTTCTTTATACTTTGTTATCATCAAAACATAAGGATTGTAGATGTAGAACCAAACTTGTTCTAACACTTAGTTGGACTCCCATTAACCAAAATTGACAATCTACTCATGAGCATATAAGTCTCCATTCACCTCACCCACCTTTCACAAAAGCCCATCCTACTTAAAATGTTCCAAAGATAATTCCAATATGCACTATCATATGCTTTTTCAAAATATATCTTGAAAAATATACACTTATTTATATGTCTCTTTGATAAATCCATTAATTCATTGATAACTAGAACACCATCAAATATTTGTCTATTTTGGACAAAAGTTGATTGACGGCTAGATATCAATTTATACATGACCTTCTTTAATCTAGCCACCAAAATCTTAGCTACAATTATATACAAACTACTAACCAAACAAATGGATCAAAACTCACTAATCTCTAGAGAGTTCTTACATACATAGAATTCATTCAAATAAGAGTAAGGAAAATAACAACTATAATTATATACAACTAAGAAATCTCAGCTACAATTATATACAAACTACTAACCAAAAGCAAAATAGCAGCTATGACTTTAAGGAGCTTAGAACTTACATAAAATTCATTCACAAATGAGACTACATTATCTTTAAGAGTGTTCTAATTTATTTATTTTTGAAAAAAACTCATGTTAAAGTCATTTGGCCTAGGGCTTTTGTCACCACCGCTCAACCAAACAACATCTTTGATTTATTATAGACAAAAAAGAATATTCAAGCCTTGTAGAATCATACTAACTTAAGTATCAAAATGCCACCCCCTCAAGATTTGGTTTACAAACTAATGGTTTTTTTTTAGTCTCTATTAAAAGTGGTTTTTAATTTCCCCTTTGATCTCATATACTTGCTCTAATCGGCCCTTATTTGTATTTAAAACCATGTTATAATTATATATAAATCTTTGCTTCATAACTGAGTGAAAAAACCTTGAGTTGACATTTCATTCTCTGATTCACCTGAATCTTGATTTATGCCTTAACATAGTTTTTTTGTGCTGCAAATTAAGTCAAACTTTGCTATAACTGTCCGCCCTTCTTTCAAATAACTTCTCTCATACCATCTAATCAACTTGAGTTGACATTTCATCAAGTTTATTAAGCTCTGGAACTACAATATCCACTTCCAAATGAACTTTTCCAAACACTTTCATATTCCACTTTCTCAACCTCTTTCAATATTTTTAACTTTTTCTTCATAACATAAGCATGCATTCCTGGAATCTTACTAGACTTCCACACCTCATCTATGAATGGTCCAAAGTCATGATGTTGAAATCAACAGTTAAAATTTTTAAAAGGCTTTGGATCCCGATCTGGCCTGATCAGAAGGGAATCACTGGACTGCCACGCGCCTTTGACTTACTGTCTGTTCACCGGTGTTGAAAAGGAGATGGGGGTTGTACCTGCAAGACACTCCGATGCCAAAGTAAGAGTTTGGACAGAGTGACAGCAAATACAGAAAATGGTAAGAAGAGAATATCTGACCCTCTTGGAGAAGAGGGTATTTATAGAGAGACCCCAGCGCATGGCCAACGGTCATTTGAGTTGGGCTGGATGGTCAGACCCAACCCAAGTGACTGTTAGGGCTTACGTGGCGTAGTGAAAACCAGAACATGGTCTTCGCCCTAGTTCAACTGCTCCGTGAACTTCGGAAAGTGGGTTGACATGCTCTTTTGGAGGTGGGCAGTTGGTGGATGACGTGTCCCCTCGGAGGGGAGCACGTGGAGAACATGTGAGTGACACGTTGTTCTGCTCGACGAGGGAGGAGTTCTGCCCGCGGAGGGTCATTGCCTGCCCGGCGGGAAACCTGTGCTCGACGGATGTGGCGCAAACTGGATTGGATTTGACAGAATTGGGTTGGGCCTTCTCGGTCAAGCCGGGACCCATGCCAGAACAGATCCCAATTGAACTTGTTGGCTTGAATTCAATAGGACTATAATCTGATACATCCCTCTACTCTACCACTTGACAAATCACATTCCATTTGTCAATCAAATTTTTTAACAAAAGGAATCTATCTAACTTACTCATTGTAGTCACATTCAATTTAAATCAAATGAATTTGCTTCTCACATAAGATATTAAATGTTCAGAAATATATGTTCTCGATATAATTCATCATTCAATAATTTGCCATAAGTGACTATAGTAATAAAGAAAAATATTGACACTTACAATAATTTGATTAGGTTTCAACAATATTTAAATTTAAAAGAAATCAAGTTAATCAATTTTAAATAAACCAAAAGAAAAACAAAAATCTAAAATTCAACAAAATAATAATTCAACCAAAGCTTAAAAACTTGTTTAAAATGTCAATGTCATCCAACTTCACCAAATTTAACAATTGCCCGTCGTTATATTTACAATATGAATTCTCTTGAGCATTTTGTAATTTGAATGACGAATTCATTTCCATGTAAATTATCATCCTACAAAACATCCTAAATATTAGTACATATAAATCAAAATCATTTCCAAGTAAACTATTTTTTTCTCATATTTGGAACCCTTTTGACGTGAATTTTTTATATCAATCAATGTATTTAGGAAGTTTGAGTTGCCTTATAACTTTTTAACAACGTGAATTTATTAGTAGTAACATACATCAATGGTTACTTATTAATCTATTTTGATGATTTGTTGCCAAAACTAAATTCACCACATCAGTTGGATTCAGAGAAGCTAGTTGACATTGCATAAC